GCACATAGTTCCCGGTATTCTATTCATCCGAGCGCCGCTAAGATGTATTAGGACTTGCAGCAGCATTATTGGTGGAGGAGGATGAAGAATCATATTATTGTGTATGTTGCGTGATATTTGAATTGTCAGCAGGTAAAGTACGAGCATTAGAGACCTGGTGGTTTGTTCCAGAAGATTGAGATTCCTGAGTGAAAGTGGGAGCGTATCACTATGGACTTCGTTGTTAGACTCCCACGGACTTAGAGGAGGTTCAACGTCGTGTGGGTTATTGTGGATATGCTGACTAAGTCAGCACATTTCATTCATGTGGCAGTTTCCTATTCTTCTGAACGGTTGGCAAAGATTTATATCCGGGAGATTGTTCGTCTTCATGGTGTGCCCGTGTCTATTACTTCTGACTGAGGTATGCAGTTTACCTCTCACTTCTGGAAGGCAGTTCAATGTGAGTTGGGTACTCGGGTCGCGTTAAGCATATCATTTTATCCTCGGATGGACGGGCAGTCCGAGCGTACTATTCAGATTTTGGAGGATATGCTCCGAGCATGTGTTATTGACTTTGGAGGTTCGTGGGATCGGTTCTTGTCATTAGCGGAGTTTGCCTACAACAACAGTTACCAGTCGAGCATCCAGTTGGCTACCTATGAGGCATTATATGGTAGGCGGTGTCGGTCGCCGGTTGGATGGTTTAGGCCGGAAGAGGCTCGGTTGTTGGATAAAGATTTAGTTTAGGATGCTTTGGAGAAGGTTAAGATCATTCCGGATAGGCTTTGTACAGCTCAGTCCAGACAGAAAAATTATGTCGACCGCAAGGTTCGTGATGTGGCATTCATGGTCAGAGAGCGAGTGTGCTTTGGATGTCGCCCATGAAGGGCGTGATGAGATTTGGGAAGAAGGGCAAGCTAAGCCCTAGATTCATTGGTCCTTTTGAGATTCTTGATCGAGTGGGAGAGGTGGCTTTTAGACTTTCGTTGCCGCCGAGTTTTTTCAGCTGTGCACCCAGTGTTTCATGTGTCCATGCTTCGGAAGTATCACGGCGATCCATCCCCGTGTTAGATTTCAGCACTGTCCAGTTGGACAAGGACTTGACCTATGAGGAGGAGCTGGTGGCTATTCTAGACCGGCAGGTTCGTCAGTTGAGATCGAAGAAATTCCATTCAGTTCGTGTACAGTGGAGAGGTCAGCCTATTGAGGCAGCGACCTCGGAGTCTGAGTCCGATATGCGGAGTCGTTATCCTCATCTTTTCACCGACTTAGGTACTTTTCTATGTCCATTCGAGGACGAACGGTTGTTTTAGAGTTGGAGAATGTGATGACCCTAAAGATCATCTCTTGTTTTAGAAGTCAAAACTGTATTCCGAGGTCTTGAAAACCACTTTTTGTCTCATCTCGATTTGCATGCGTAGTCCGGGCGCGTTTCCGGAAAGCTGTTATGTGAAATTTAAGAAAAATAATGAATTTGGCCTTTAAGATTGATCAAAGTTAACTTTGGTCAACATTCTTGGTAAACGGACTCGGACCCATGATTTGACGATCTCGTAGGGTCCGTAGTAAAATATGGGACTTGGGCGTATGCGCGGAATCGAATCCCGAGGTCCCTAGCCCGAGAAATGAATTTTTTAAGAAAACTATTTGCTGTAAAATATATAGGCTTTTTGAAATGAAATGATGCGTGTTCTTGATGGTATTGGGCATGTATGTTGGTTCCGGAGCCCAGTACATGTTTTAAATAATAATTGAGTTGAATCTGTAAAATTTGGTAGGAATCGGAGTTGGTTTGGTATAAATCGGACCTTTTGTTGAGAAAATGAAAATTTTAATGTTCTTAAGTGATTTCATGAATTTGAGGTTAAATTCATAGTTGTTGATGTAATTTTGATGATTTAGTCGCACAAGAAAGTCCGTATGATGTTTCTAGACTTGCGTGCATGTTTGGTTTGGAGCCCCCGAGGGCTCGGGTGAGTTTTGGATATGTCGCGGAGTGAATTGAAATTAGGAAAATTTCAGATGGCGTCTGGTATTTTTGCCTAGGCCTCTGATCTCACAATTGTGAGATCAGGCTTCGCATCTACAAAGTGGTCAGGCTTGAAAAATGCGACCAAAGTGTCGCAATTGCGAACCAAGCCTGGGCAGGCCTTCATCGCAATTGTGACCTCAGGGATGGGAAATGCAAAGATGATAGGATTTCAAAGGGTTCGCAATTGCGAACCCCTGGTCGCAATTGCGACATCTACGACCTGTTAAGTCGGATTTTGACGGAATTCTTCTTTATTTTTACAACTTTTCAAACCCTAAACTCCCATAGGCGATTTTCTTGAAAAGAATTCTTCCTTAAATCATAGGTAGACGATTTCTAACTTATTTTCTTCAATCTATAACATCTTTTTACATGATTTCACTTCAATATCTAGAGTTTTTCATGGGAAATTAGGTATTTTGGGGTAGAAGTTAGGATTTTTAAATTTTGGGGATTTGGACCTCAATTTGAGGTCCGATTTCAAAACTAATTACATATTTGAGTTCGTGAGTGAATGGGTGATCGGGTTTCGGTTCGAACTTCGAGTTTTGACCAAGCGGAGCAGGGTCAATTTTTGACTTTTTGGGAAAAACAATGAAAAATCTATTTTCATACATTAGAATTGGTTTATTTAGCATTTATTAATGTTATTAAGTAAATTGTGACTAGATACAAGCGAATTAGAAGTGGAACCGAGAAGTAAAGTGGTAGTTGAGGCTTAATCTTGTCCATGAAATCGAGGTAAGTGTTTGGCCTAACCTTAGCTTGAGGGAATAGGAGTTATGGTCTATTTGCTATGTGTTAGTATCGAGTACGACGTATAGGTGTGGTGACGAGTATCTATACGTTGGTGTCAAGCATGCCCGTGAGTCTTATATCATGATTGTTGTGACTCTATTATGTATCGATCATGCTCAAATTGATGATTATTAATGCTTATGAAAGTTTCTTGGTAATTGACTATTGTTGAGAATTGACACAAGTTGAGTTTCATTTTTGTAAAATAATTGTTAAAAACGAGATTGGTTCTAGCTGAATCCCTTGCTGAGATGATATTGTTGATATTGTTGATTCCCTTGCCGTGATGTTATTGCTGATATTATTGATTCCCTTGGCGGGACGCATTGTTTCTATTATTTGGGTGAGGAAGAGTGTAAAGCACGAAGGATGTTGCCTTGCATGATATTGTGAGTGAGTGATAATGCACGAAAGGTAATGCCATGCCAATATTATGAGTGATAATACACGAAGGGTGATGTCGTGCCATGATTTGAGAGTTAAAGCGCAAAGGGTGATGTCGTACCATGATTATGTGAGGTAATGCACGAAGGGTGATGTCATGCCATTTATATTGTTTCATATGGTGAGGATGAGAGTAAAAGCATGAAGGGTGATGTCGTGCACGTGTTACCGCTTCATTATTCCTATTGATATAGATATGATGTTCATTATGCTTCGTTATTAATGCTTCTTTATTGGCTTATTATTAGAATCTGTTATTCCCCGCAGCATGTCCCCTTCCCCACCTTATTCTGTTGATTCCTGTTATTATGATTTTCTCTGTATATGACTTAACTGCACAGGTTTATTGATTGTCGTGTCCTAGCCTCGTCACTACTTCGCCGAGGTTAGGCTCGACACTTACTCAGTACATGGGGTCGGTTGTACTGATACTACACTCTGCACTCTTTTGTGCAGGTTTCGGTACCGAACTCGGTGGGTAGCTGAGGTAACTGCCTTCAGTCCAGGGAGACCAAGGTAGATTTGCTGGCATTCGCAGAGCCTAAAGTCCCCCTTCCCTATTTAGCTTTTCTATTGTCTCTTTTCATTCCTAGAACAGTTGTACTTTTCTTTCCAGACTTGTATTTGTAGTAAAAATCTTAGTCGTTCGTGAATTTGTGACACCAGATTCGTGGGTAGACATGTAATGAAGTATTTGGATTTATTTTAACTCTTCCCCACTTTTTATTTGTTTAGCTATAGTTACTGCTTATAATTGCTTGGGTTAATTGTTAATGTGTAGAACCTTAATAGTTGGTTTGCCTAGCTTTCACGAGTAGGCGTCATCACGACTTTCAGGGTAGGAAATCTGGATCGCGACAAATATATATTAATCCCAAAGACGATATTGTTCTAGATAAAAATAAATAATGATACCAAAAAGCAGGCAAGCAAAGCTCCCAAAAAAGTACATACATAAACCATGGATCGCAACTTCCTTTTTGTAATCTTACATAGTGATAGAAAATAGATAGATGTTTCGAAATTGGTTTAATCCAGTCACGCATGCACCTTGAAGGTCATTTCGCCACTAGACGGCGAAACTACTTTAAAAAAAACCAGGAAGTTCTTTATGCCCTCCACTTTTGGACAAGCTCCAATGCTCAATTACCAAACTAGAAGTTCTAACCAAAATGATTATAATCTATAATGAAAATTTAGTTGTGCATATGTACATGGGCGAAGCTTCATTATTACAAGGTGGTCAATTGATCATCATTCGTCTAAAAATTACATTGTGTATATAGGTTAAATATTAAATTTTAGAGGTATATAACATATATTGAACACCCTTTGTCGAGAATTTTTTTCATTTCTTTCAAATTTGAACACCCTTGGATAAATTTCTGGCTTCCCACTGTATATGTACACCGAAGGTGTAATTAATATAATATCAAATGAATACTAGTATTTTTTTTAAGTTTTGAATGGAATGTTCACTGTTACTTTAGTAACCTTGTCAAAACAATGTCTCTTTTCCAACGAGGAGTGGATATACTTCTAAAAGGTTACACTGGCTCCACTTGTTTATAACAAACTCTTAAAAGCTGTAGTGCTTGTAAACATAGTTACTCCATTAATTAAAACATGGCTTGATAAAGTTTGAAATATTCCTTAAAGAAAATATAATAATATATCCTTTGATCACACTTTACACCTATTCACCCTTTAAATTTCTCCTTTATAAGGAACTCCTCCAAGGAAACTTCAATTCATTCACTAACAAGAAACGCAGAACACAATACAAAGAAAAACACAAATACACACACTTCCAACCAAAAGCTCTATATGGCAACTATTTCCACTATATTCAATCAAGAATTCAGGGAGAACTTCCACTACTCAAGAAGACTACTTCTAATACCAACTACACTACCACAAAACCACCTGGAGGCCACCTTGGCGCCGCCACCGGCAGCCGAAATCAGCCACGTCAACACATTTGATGCAAATGTTATTATGGTCTTGTCAGTACTTGTATGTGCCTTGATTTGTTCACTTGCCTTGAATTCCATCATAAAGTGTGCATTAAGGTGCTCCAACTTAGTATCAGCTTCAGATTCATCCTCAAACTATAGAAATCCTTCAGCAGCAAAGCTAGCTAATACAGGAATCAAGAAAAAAGCTCTCAAGACATTCCCAGTTATAACTTACACTACTGAATTGAAACATCCAGGGGTCGACACTGAGTGTGTAATTTGCTTATCAGAATTTGGAGCGGGAGAGAGAGTTAAGGTTCTGCCTAAATGCAATCATGGCTTCCACGTCAAGTGTATCGATAAATGGCTACGTTCCCACTCTTCTTGCCCTACTTGTAGGCATTGCCTAATTGAAACAAGTCAAAAGATTGTTAATGTTGGAAGTTCTTCTTCTAATACAAGGTCAACTGCAAACCCTCAGATAGTTAGCAATACCTCATCAGCAGTACCAGTCCAAGAAATTATTATAAGGATTGAACCTCTCCAACGTGAAGGTGGTACATCTAACAATCAAATTTAGGGAGAAAAATTTCTTAATTGGTATGTATCACACACTCAATTAGAATTAGCTTAGGTTTTTACTTAATAGTTTAGTTGTTTTTTTTTCCTTGTTGGAACAGTTTTAGTGAGCTAGAGCTAGTATGAGGCCAACGGCAGTGTAGCCTTCATATGATTCATTAGTCTTGCAAGTGTATATAGAAATTAAATTTTATTTCCGTTTCTTTTGGAAGCATTTTCTTTATTTTGGCGACATTATTAAAGTACGCAATGGAGAGATTGAAAAAAAAAAAATCAAACTAGGCTATACATTTTAAAATATTCATATAATCTTTTCAAGAGTATACTCCCTTCTTCCCCATTTATATATATCATTATTTCCTCGTAATGCCGTTTTAGAAAGAATGATACATTTACATATTTGAAAGCAATTAAACTTTAAACTTTTCATTTTAATATATTTTAAAAAAAATAATTTTATAACTACACAAATGTTATAAATTGTGACATATTTAAACTCACAAGTTACAAAAAAATTTAATCACACAAATGTTATGATATGCTTAACACCATAAATTTCAAAATAAAAGTTTTCTTTCTTTATTAAGCTTCTACCTGAGTCAAGATAAACACATAAATTAAAACGAAAGGAACAGTAGTTAACACAGACTTTGATGATGTATCCAAGAAGAATTTCTTCCTTTTACTTATAAACTACTAGAATACTTAAGGCTTCAACTTGATTTCAAACTGATTTTGTATGTTATCGTTAAAAACAATAAGAAAATAAAAATTTACCCTCTTACAATTTAAACTTTTAGACGAAATGGTTACACATTTTAACCGTTATAATCATACCACGTGCAACAAATTACGAAACCAGCTACTAAATCATACCTCGAAATAGAAAAATATTTGGAACAATTTAGAAGGACTATGTTGCAAATATTTGATGATAAGGCAATTTCTTATCTCTAGTTGTCAATGTAAAAAGTAAAGTGCTAAAAATCTTTTAAAAAGGATAACCCTCGAGTGTTCTGAGGTATATCCACATGCACTATATTGTGTTGGTGGTTTTGGCGATAAATATAGAAGAAATCATCTTCCCAATCCCACCAACACTAAAAGTAAAATATTTGATTAAGACATTTAGTGAATCCATACTCCCAATGTCTAGATATAGCATTTGTCGGAAAAATAATTTGAAAAGACGAAGGGTCCCGACAATTTTATGAACCTTACCTTTGTTGTAATGGGAGAGTATCACATTCATAATTTTATGCACAATTAACCTTATTGCTCTTGTGTTTTTAATATATCAATCATTTCCCATCACTATGTAGTAAAGTGCCACCGCCCCTTTTCTTAATTTGGCTCCACACCATGTGGTATTTCTGAATTCTGATAAGGAGTTCAAGGATCCATGTATCGATCATACGCAGCTTTCGGGTCGCGGATTCATTTAAATCTAATATTTTTCATATGCAATATAAATTTATATATAAAATTTTTATTAAAATTGTAATAAATAATTGATATAAACTAATAAATTTTAAAATATAATAGATTAAATACTAAAATCTTAAATGTAAAACTCATAGATGCAAAATCCCGGATTCGCCACTAGTCTTAATTGCCTTTCTTCCAATTTTGAAAAGTAAGTCAACAATGCATTTTTAAGTGGTGATGTTTGAGCCATGGACAAATATTACTTTAATTATCCATTTAAATACACAAAGGAAATAAAAAAAATGATAAGGCTAGCTACTTGAGATATTGCAACTGCTTTGGTGGGTTCAAAATAGGAAATTAAATGTTGAATGAATTAAAGTGAAAAATATAAAACTTATGTTTACCTCGAAAATATGAGTAACAATTAAATTTGATTTGTGGTTTTAAAGATATGTGATCTAGTTAAATACCAATTAATAATCAAGAAATATGAGGTAGAAATGAAAGAGACAAGTGAATCAAACCAATGTTACTTGACAGTGATGACCTTGAGCTTAGTGACCTCGAGATGAACCAAGAGCAGAAAAGTAAGAGCAATAGGGATAAAAGGACAACTCTAATGAACAGTAAGAGAGAAAAGTGGGATAATATATTTTTGCTAATGTTTAGATAGATGTTACAAATTGTCACACCTCCTTTTTCCGCGCCCGCGTGGGTGCAAGGGAGTTTTTTCCAATTAAAGGACAGTCGAAACAGGATTTATTTCTTTATTTCAGAGTCGCCACTTGGGAGATTTAGGGTGTCCCAAGTCACCTATTTTAATCCCGAATCGAGGAAAAGAATGACTCTGTATTACAGTCTGCGCACCAGAAATCCGGATAAGGAATTCTGTTAACCCGGGAGAAGGTGTTAGGCATTCCCGAGTTCCGTGGTTCTAGCACGGTCGCTCAACTATTATATTCGGCTTGATTATTTTGATTTGCTAAATACATTTTTTATTGAATGATTTTATTGTTACCGCTTCTATTTAGATTTAAAGTCCCTTCTTTGAATCGAATCACACGTACGAATATTCGTGTTATAAATTATATTTTTTAAAACATGCGGAGTTGTGTCACGCGCACGTGTACAC